AAGAGTGTAATTACCTTCTTTCACGTTCTTCTCATTATTTTTTAAAGGAGAGCTTTTCATAGATGGAGTTAGTACTATTGATTACATGATAACTTATCAGATCAGATTCAAATTTTTAGTTTTGTGGGTCAAAAATTTCAACATTCCAATTTCATGTGAAACATGTAGTCCGCCAAAACCCTGATGTGTATATGATGTGCAGGAGGAGAGGGCTCTAAACGCCCGGAAGTAAAAGATTTGACATGTTGTTCAGGCTACCTGTTAATCCACAATGATCAAATGCAGTTGCTTGCATGAATATTGTCAGATTTCTTCCTGGTATCATGGCATCTGTGCTTTTGAGTGTTTTCCCTCAAAAAAAAAAAAAAAATTAGGATTTCATATCATGCTGAAAACACATTTTATAATTTGTGCCACTTCTACAGCTTGTTGTAGAAATCTTTAAAATTTGTATAATAAGAGTGAAATTAAAAAGAGCATCAGCTGTTATGAGGGGCCTGAACTACTCTCAAAATTACAAACTGGTTTCTATGAAGGAGTCCTTTGTTGTAGGCAGCAGGGGATCAATCATGAAGTAACTACTAAGCCAAACACCTCAATAAGGCCTGAGGGAAAATTTCAGTGGGACTTTTGCTGGTGAAGAGACTTAAGACTATAGCTTGATACTGGCACAATTTTGTCCTTGTGTGAGAATGATTCCAGTTATGCACCGTTGCTTCCAATATACTGTAACTGTTAATATTACAGTAAAACTGTGGCAGCCGTTAAAACTATGTTTCGTATACTATTCAGTAAAATGACTGCCAAACTATTTATTTTACAGAACAGCCCATTATCTACCCTTCTAAGGAGCACTCAATTCTGTCATTACAATATTGATGCAAAGAAAAGGCATATAAGAGATGCTGTCTGCAGTGAAAAACACCTGTTTCTGCCTTCCTCATACAAGTAGGTTGCTCACTATTTCATTACCCTTTATTTATAAGTATTCATTTTAAATGGTGATGTATCACATTTTGCCCTGACTTCATCCCCAAATACGCATTTTGTTCTTAAGAAGGAAGGAGGCATGGCAAGACTCCTCAAAGATACTTAGACCCAAGTAAAACACTGAATTTTTCTTTGTTTGCTAGAAATCGCTATGGTGTGATGACGGAGGTCAACCAGACACTGAAGCTTGAAGATACCCCAAAGATCAATAACAGAAATTTTGATGGAGGTATAGCTACAATTCTCGATAATACAAATACAAGGACAAAATATAAATACAGGTTAAATACAGGGACAATTTTTTTTAAAAAAACAGTGAATTAATTTAAAGATGCAGTTGAGGGGACCAAAACAATTCAGAATTTTTAATTAAATTTGATCAATTTAGTCAGAAATAAGGTTTGGGTATAAAATGGGAAAACCTGAAAAGTCTAAAAACACTGTAATTTTAAATAATCCCTGTCTTTTCATTTTAATTTTGAAATTATTCCTTATAATTTATAATTTGCTTGGAAAGTAATGTTAATGTTATTGGAAATCAGTTTAATAAACCCTTTTTAGCTAACCACAATTGCTTATGCAACTTTTCGCTTCAGCTGCCAAAATGTAACAGTCCATGATTACTATATATTCGGTTCTGAAACACACTTTTTTGACATGCAGTTGCTATTCCAGGTCATAACATATTTCTCCTAAGATATATTTATTAAAAGTTGAAAAAGCAAACTATGCTAATATAAAAGGTGTTAAGTAATCATCTTCATGAAAATTTAAAAGAATTTATGCAAATAGGTATTGAAATGCAACTTTTGAGAGAATCACATTTAAATTCCAGTTCATTATTTTTAGAAACTGTTCAGCTGTTAAACTTCAACAGTTATCACATAAAATAATCTACAGAGTTTATATTATACTGAATATATGACAAGATAAAAATTAACATAGCTCCTTGATAAAGATATAAAGAATGCAATTTTTTTAATTGCTAGATGAACTAGAAGAGAAGGGACTTGCACTGGAAAGTACAGATGCCAGATTTCCCAGGCAGGGGGATGCTGTTCTGAAAATCCTTCAGGAATTGCAGAAACTTACAGCCTCCCAGCAGAACCAGCAGAGAGCAAGACTGTTTTACAAATTTGTTTCTGGACTTAGAAGTTTACATAACAGCAGTCTTGGATCACTTGTACCAAAGATGATGGAAACTTCAAGGTATGTTAACAGCAGTTCATTGTGGAAGTACACCACATGTCAGTGTCAGTTGATCATTTGCTGCAAGTGGTTTTAAATTAGAAGTTAATTAGATGTAAGGAGTGTCTTTCAGAAAGGTATCATCAGAATTATGTAGAGAGAGAAATAAGGAAGAGAGAGTAAAACCTGTAGATTTTACATTTTTCCATCAGAAATGCTCAGTTGTTAATTGGAACTTCAACATTAAATATATGAGAACAGTGTAAGAATTCAAATAGAGCTGAAAGTTCTAGTCTGACTTATAGCAAAGAACACAGTTTTGCAAGTGAGATTTTTGGAGACATGGAATGGCACAGTTCTTTGGTCTGACCAAGCCCTCCACTCCCCACTGTTACTCTTCTGTCCTAGCTGGACGTGCGTCAATTTACACATAGTTTATGTCCTCAGTCTGTAGAGGGACTAGAGCCTCAGTCTGGTTCAATATATTATATTATATTATATTGTAATACTTATTTGGGAAAGTCTGTTGTGGAGAAAAAAAAGATACATCTGTGTAGTGATAGTATTGTTAATACTTGCTTCTTGCTCATAGCTAATCATGTTATTAGTATAACTTGTAAAACTAAGAAGCTTCTTTTTGATAAGCAGTTGTGTGATTTGCTTCCAGTCATGCATAAGCATATGTCATTTATATTAAAACACCTTAATAAACCTGTCAAATGTTTATTTCAAACATGCAACATGCAGCAATAACTGGAAACAGGGAATTAATCAAAGTAATCTCTTGTCCTTTCAGTGCCATCACAGTTCAGGCCCTGACTCAGTGCGGGACTCCAGAGTGCTATGGTGCAGTCCTTCAAATACTGAGAACTGGAAACGTGAATCCGCTTGTGGTAGACCTGGTCACATATACCCTGGGACTACTGCCTTCTCCAACTCCAAAAAGAATACGGGAAATTCTTAGCATGGCCCAGTATCAGCCAAGTAGAGCTTCTTTTTATGGCTTGAGTCATTCTGTTACTAAGTAAGTAATGATAGCATGTAATTGTACAAAAAAACCTCAAGAACACGTTACAATGCTTAGAGTAAACCCTAAGAGTAGTCACTTTTTGAGGATTTTTTGTTACTCTCATGAATTTGCTCTTTGGGAATAAAAAATAAGTAGACGTTTCCCATTTTCTCCTTTTGTTTCTAAATGTGTTTCTCTATTTCTTTAGGTTCTACAATGAAAAGATGATTGTGACAGAGGAAATAACAGATGTTGCAGACTTCATGGTATCATTGCTTGGTACGGATTGTTCTGGAGAAAATGAACTCACATACCTCACACTTCGGGTATTTGTATTTCCTTCTTTCCTTATGCAGGCTATTATTTTAAAATGTAGCTCATATATTACTCTACTTCTCTTGGTGGAGATAAAATGTTTATCATCTCTCTTGTTTTTATCACTGGCAGGCTATTGGAAACATGGGCGCAGTAATGGAGAAAGCTAAACCCAACCTGAAATCTTTTCTTAAGACATGTATCAGAAATGAAGCTGCATCACTTTCAGTTCAGAAAGCAGCCATCCAGGCATTCAGGAAAATGACTATCACTGAAGAGGTAAATTGGGTCACAAGAACCAGCATAAACTGTCTTCAGTTCACCTTGAGTGTTCACAGAATTTATTGAATATGCAAAACATTCCCGTTATTTCATAGTTTTGCTATCTCCCTTTTAGCTGTCTCCATCTTTTTTAGAACTCCTTTAGTTAGTTTAGTTTCCATACACGTATCTGAGAAGTTCTGCAGACTTCTGACTTCGTGGGTGTTGCTCCTTTGAGATGCAGTTGCTTTGTATAGATAGTCTCAGTTTAAATGGGAAGTTTGGATCTGCTCCTGTTAGTGTCTTAAACAGAGTTCTCCTTATTTAAGGGTAGTTTTAACTAACAAATTACTCCAGATTTAAATGGATTTAACTAAGAAAAAATCAGGTCCCCATTTCATACTGGCATTTTATTGTCATTGTTATTAATAGTACTGGTTAGATATATGTTTACATTACAGTGACATTAAAGCACCTCCTACAGAATGGGTGTCATTATACAGAGCACTTCAGCTTAGCATAGTGAAATAGTTTCAATATCAACAAGTTTCTACTCTAAGAGACATGCTTTTGTTTCCAGACAAGGCTTAACAAGTCGGGGAACCTGGAAACACCTGGAGCTCACATCCTCAGATTCAGTTTAATTTAAAGGATTTTTTAATTATTATTATTATTATTTATTTTCAAACTATGTTTTTAATTTTCCTGCAGCAGAAGATTTTGATCACCTTCTTTTCCTAAATTGGATGGTCTTTTTTCCAAAATTTGGGAATTTGTCTGCAGACCAGAACACTTCTGATCCCCAATAATCAAAACTCAGTATTCTAAACAAAAAATGTAACCTGCCAGATATAGGATAAGAAAATCAGTTTTAATGAAACCATAATTTCTGTGACATTTTCTATCAAAGGAAACTTTACCACAATAGCTTCAATTAAACTTTTTTAGTCAGTTATAGAAATAAGGTATAGAAATAGTTATGTAGTCCAGAAAAAATTGCATCCTGGAAATTATTTCACCCTACATATTCCCAAAAGATTTTAGCAATATCATCTACTAGCCAGCTCATCAGTGCAAACCTTTCTTTATTTATATAGGACCGTTCAGCACTTATGAAAGCATTCCAAGAAGGGGATGCATCTACAGACAAACGTCTAGCAGCCTATCTCATACTGATGAAAAATCCTTCCCCCACTGATCTCACTAAAATTTTGAGAGTCCTCACAAAGGAGAAGAACGAGCAAGTGAAAAACTTTATTGCCTCACACATTGCGAACATCCTAGACTCTGAAGAAGTAGGCATTGAAGAGTAAGTAAAATTTAGTTATATACTAGTCTCCTAGGAATAACAAAGTTCTGACCATAATTGCAGTGGTAGTTATTTAGCACTGCATTTTTTTTCTTTTTTTTTTTTTTTTGTTTGCTTGTTTGTTTTCTTTGTTTGAACATTTATGGCTTTGTCAGAGCAGTGCCAGCTTACAGTCTTTCCCTTAAGTCTTATTTTTACTGTTAATATGTGCAAAGAGCTAGTCATTTACAATCACCTCTGTTGTATGAATGTCTGCAGGTGACACAAGAAATCCCTCAACTAAGACTAAACGAGTTTTTGGAATTTATACTGATCGTATTTGCATTGATACCCTCTTTCCTAGACTAAAAAGCCAAATTCAAGAAGCTCTGAAAGGAAACCAGGTTCCAACAGCCAAAGATTTCAGAAAATTCTCACAAAATTATCAGATTTCCAAAAGAGTTTCTGTACCTGGAGTTGATCCTGTCTCTGCCAAAGTAGAGGGAAATGTGGTATTTGATCCAAACGGCTATCTTCCTAAAGAGACTATGCTAAAAACCACCCTGAATGTGTATGGATTTGGCCCAAGTGATATCTTTGAGGTACAGCAATTACCAAAACCTTTTTCTAGTATTCAGCTGTTTTCTTTCTCATTTCTGTTTTCTTATAACAACTTTCTCTAAATAATGTATTGTTTTTACAAGCTTTGGGAGAATACTAAAGATCACTATTCTTACAAGAGGACTTTCATTTGATCTCAATGGGCCTTAGAGCAAGCCATCCGTTATGTGATGTCACTTGCCACTGACTGTTGGAGTTATTAAAGGCCTCAGCTAGGGTAAAATGAACCCATCTGTAACAAATTGACTTCATGCTAATGAATCATTACTGGCATACTGAACTACTCATAGTAGATTTTAAGTGAGGTACAGCCTATGTGTAGGTTTTTTGTTGGACCTCACCACAGAGATAAAATTAATTGTAAGACCTAGTATTCTGTATCTTCCCTTAAGAATCGTAAGCTTGTAGGATACACTTTAAATGCATTGTTTGTTCCCCAGAAAGTCTATTTGTGGTAAAGCTCCAAAGAAGTGGGGAAACTGTCTCAGTTATTGCATTGTCCTGTTCATTTCAGCTTGGCTTGGATGGAAAGGGGTTTGAACCAACACTGGAAGCTTTGTTTGGAGAGAAGGGATTTTTCCCAGACACTGCGAGCAAGGCCTTGTACTGGGTTGATGGCAGAGTGCCAGAGCAGGTTTCCAAGGCGCTTTTTGACTATTTTGGTTACTCCCAAGACAGCAAGCAGGATCAGGTACAGCTTGAAAACATTCTCTGAGCAGCATGGCATTCCTATCTTTACACAATAATTACAGTACTTCCCTCTTTATTGTATATGAGCCTTCTCCTCTTCTGGTAAGCTAAAATACAAATCTTTAATGCTATTTAGGAATGCTTTTTTCTTAATTGTATTTGGGAGGGGCATTTGTCTGGAGACAACTCTGTAAGAAGTGCATGTGCAGATTAGCTCATATTCACTGAGTTACTGTTCTAGACATATGATCTTACAGATTTCTCATAAATCTGTTTTACTACTTTCTGACTGAATTTTCAGGATGTCATGAAAGGAATAATGCTTAACCTTGAAAAATTAATAAAAGAACTGAGCAACAAGGAAGCTCCTGAAGGAAGAGCATATCTGAGAATCCTGGGAGAAGAACTTGGGTACATGAAACTCAATGATTTCAAATTGTTGGGAAGCATGATTTTAAAGAGTGTTAAAACTCTTCAGACTATTCCCGAAATGGTATGTTTCTGATGCACCAATATGTATCATTAATTTGGGGTTTTTCTACAAGATCTTTTTAAGATTTCGTTTGTGTTTATCTGTTATGTAAAGAATGGATATTTGATACCAGCATGAATATAAAATTGTTTAAAGTAAAAAATCCAGGGTTAGTCTGAAGGACTCTGAGAAACCCTTGAAGACTCCTCGGTAACCAAGTGGAGTCCTCCTGGAAGACGGGTGCGAGGAAGGAAAAAGGGAAGGTTCAGATCTTATTGTATGATTGAGATATCTACTGGAAAAATGCCCAGAATCTTAGTGTTGGCCATTATGTTATGCTACTAAATTTCAAATTATGAAAATATATGTTAATATTAAGCAATAATTTGTCATGTTAAAAAGACAAGAAGATGTGGTACAGTTCAGCAATATTTGGTAAAACCCTTCTTTCATTGAAGTAAAGAAATGCTTCCCCATTGACTTTGGGGAAGCCAGAATGTTACATGTTATGTAAACCAATTCACCTTTGGATGTGTATGTCAAGGTAGATGATCTGTGTGTACCAAGGCAGGTGATAAAATCTAGTATTCAGTTAAAGCTGAGATTTTGATAAACAGTCTTTAGTACATTTTTTTTGAAGCAAGAAATCTGTAGAAATTAGATCCTGTACTCTATATGAAGTTAATTTTTGGATTATACAGTTACAATCATTCCATGATCAATTTTTAAAGTACAAATTGTACTTATTCCAAAGTGTAGATTTGTTAGTGTTCATTTCCTTGTTTGATTCACAGATTGCACAAGCCATCTCCAAAGGTGTTGACAGTGATATATTTGTCCACTACATGTTCATGGACAATGAGTTTGAGCTCCCAACTGGAGCAGGTTTGCAACTGAAGTTTGCCTTGTCTGGAATAGCAACACCTGGGGCCAAAGTAGTTGTGAAGCTTCATCAAAAAAGCGTAAGTCTCAACAGTTGTCTATATTTTGTTTCCTCCTAATAATCTACAACCTCATTTAGGGATAAAACTGTAACACCGGAAGAATTTTAAAGACTACAAAATACTGTTCAACTGAAAAAACCAACTTCCTTATTAGAGGTCTCCAGTTAATTTGTGGATTACATTTACATTAGAGTAAGAAGTAATACATATAATAAATTAAGTATGAGACATAATAAAATTTATGAATTAAACGTATTTTAATCATGCTTTCAAAAATAATCCTTTTAGTCTCTGTTTATTTCTCTCTCCCTGCTCTCAAATGAGAATAGTGCAAAAGCTACAGCACATGAATTTCCTGTTCAAACCAAACAGTTAATAAAAAATTTTGATGTGGCCAATTCAAAGGGAAAATTTTGATTTTTCAGTTAAAAGATATATTGAAAATTGAGTTAAATGAAACATTTTTTGATCTGAAAGGAAACATTTTAAAATTGTAACAATCAAAGAGCATGTGACAAAATTAATTACCCAGTTTAAAAAAAAAATTAAATATTTCTATTCTTTTGTACAGTTTTAATAACTATTTTGCTCTCATTTAGTCAATATTTTGTATAAATTTCTCAATAGTTTCAGTTCACCTAAACTTTTAATTTTCCACCATATACACAATTTAAGTAAAAATAAAAAATAAGTCGTCAAATTTAGTACTTGTTGCCTTTTACCTTTGGAATCTTTTCCAGAATTTTGCATTTTGTCCCTTCTTTCTGTAATGGCCAAACCAGAAGCTTGAAAATAAGCTGTTTTCTGTTTAGAGAAATTAAAATCTTGGATCCATTTCTTTTTTGTCAAATAGTTTGCTCTTTTATTTTTTTTTGAAAATTGCTTTTTTTTTACAATGGAAAACTGGCTCTTGTATTCAGATTTAAAAGTACATGCAAGTAGTTCCATGTACAAAATCTTTCTGAAGCATGAGTATTTTTACATTAAAGTAGACAAGGTTCCTTGGTGTTGTCATCTTGTATTTGTACATTACAGTTACCACTTATGTGGTCCCTCTGCTTATGTGACTTGGGAATCAAACTTTTTGAATAGCAAAACCAATTACATAAAACCTACCTCTAGATTATCAAGAATATTACATTTGTTTTATAAAACCAGTAAGAAGTATATTGAGCAAATAAATACACCATTTTGTTTTCATTAAATAGATGCAAGCAGAACTCATTGCTAAACCTTCAGTAGCAATTGAGTTTGTAACACATCTGGGAATAAACATACCTGAATTTGCTAGAAGTGGTGTGGAGATGAATTCTAATATATTCCATGAGTCTGGAATTGAAGCACATGTTAGTATGAAAGCTGGACAGCTAAAATTCAGCATTCCTGCCCCAAAGACTCCAACAAAGCTCCTCAGTATCAGGTAATGAGAACTGAATGAGACCTTTCAAGACTATGTCCTTCCCTTCTCTTCTCGGTTTTTAATGTGATGGAATTGAGAGGCTACGGCAGGCATGGAGAAATTTTCAGTTCAGAAAAATCCCAGACATTGTAAAACTGGGATAACTTCTTTTGTAAGATAAGCAAAGAGCCCAGATAAGTGGTGACTGGGAGTCATGGCTTACAGATTCTTTAATTTGTCACTATTTTCTGACATTTTCAACAAGGCTCTTATTTCTTTCACAAAAAAAATTACTATAATAATAATAAT